TAATATTTTATTTAAAACGTTGAAATCAATGTTTCTTCTAAAACGTAAAATTCCACGTTATCATTTAAAACGTCGAACGCAACATTTTCAACATTAATAAATTTTGATTATTACGTCACTTACCTTTATGAAATCTGGGTTGCATCTTAGCGTCCATTCGGAACACTTTTCCGGATCATTACAATGTATTCAGGATTGAAGGACCAAAGGGTGATGATATGTTGATGGATGGGAAGGTTCTGGTTAAAGTATATTCTACGATGACATCACTGGAGGTGAAAATAATGACACTTAGGGCTGGGAAAAGAGATAATTTGGTTTTGTACGCAATCATGGACTAATATTTGGGGACCTTACCTGTCAGAAATTGAATGTATCAATTTAATCACCATATAACTGCTTTAATCATAAACAAGATCTTGTTATTAACAAATTCTTATGAAATACCTATCTTAAAAATCTCTTCTTTCATTCTCTTCCACATTAACGATTAATTGTAATGAACTTTCTTCCCAAATTTATGTCTTCTTTACCCACTTCCTATTACTAAGTTGCTTTAAGTTATCTTGAATGCTGATGGATTTTGTGTTTCATCTAATACTTTAACATAACTTGATGTTTCTCCGTATCCTGAGGTGATTATTTGTAACATAGCTGATATCGAAAAACGAGCTCCTAAAAAATAATTATTTTCTCGTGTTTCCGATTGGCCGATAAACCTGTGTTGTTAGTTTTGATTTAAAAGCGTAAATTAAAGTTTTATCAATCAATTCTATAATAAAGATTATAAAGAAGTCATTATCACAAAGAAATGTTAAATCATTGTGTGTAGCGTTTATTTTATATAAGATTAATATATTTAAATGAAAAGAAATTAGATTATGATAACATATAAAACTATGTAAATTATTAGATCAATTTGAATTAGGTAATTTGGATTAAATTAAATTATTAAACCTTTTTAATCCAAAATATCTAAAAATACGTGAAAGATATTCGAAAATATGGACTGGAAAACCTAGAAAAAAAGATTAAATTAAATTAATTAACGAAAAAAAAAATTAGAATGTATTAATTAAAAGAAAGACAAAAAAACTATTTAAGAATTATAAAAAGAAATAAATTAGCTACGTTTAGCTTAACGACGAACTGTTAATAGAACAGTTTGGAGGCTCTAATACAGCCAAATATGTCTTCCTTGAGCCATTGTCTATTATTAATTAAAATATAAGGGAGCAACATTGTCACTTCGAGCTAAGAGATGACCTATTGTTAGTATTAACTACAAGAAAGATGGATAAATTACGATTGATATAAAAATTACTCCAGCTTTGTCCAAGATTTAAAAAAAAATTAACGTAACAACTCAATTTCTGGTAAATTTAATAGATATAGCCCAAAATTATTAAATAATTATTAAAAAAAATTGCAATTTACACAAAAAAAAAGTAAATAAAATAATAAAAATAAAAAACAGTAATCATCCCATAAAAACACATTCTCCAACAACAATAACCATCCTCTATTTACAACTCCTGTAATGATAGACGAAATTATTTTTAATACTGCGAGCTCGTAGAATTGACAATAAATTGCTTTAACAAAAAGAACACTCACAAAACAAAAAAAAAATAAATTAAATTAAATAACGCGAAAGTATAACGTGAAATATTAGAGAACCCTTAATACAGAAAGCAAAAAAAATGATACTGTACGTCTATAAAATGATATATTTAATTTATAATATATAGTTGGTTTATATACGATTCATGTTATTTTTCTATTGTTATTAATAGCTTTTTTATGTGTATTTCTTGGTGATACCTCGGTTTAGGGCACGTCTGGACAAAATGATATAAAACAACCAAATTCGATATGTAAATAAACATTGTATATGTATGCAGAATTTATGTGTAATATTATAACTGGAAATATATTGTTTATGTAAAAATCTTGATTTTATTTATTCCTGTAACAAAGAAAAATTAATAAATAAAATTATATATTGCGGTGTTTTACTTGTGTGTTTTTACACAAGTTATTAAACTATAAATTTGGGTTTCTTTAATTTTAAGAGACTCTTATTAAAAACTCAGGGTTTCGGGCAAGTTCAGGTTCAAAAGAAAATTAATCAGGTTCGACAAAAAATTCATTTAATTAAACACAAAATTTAATTAACTCGTTTTATGAGTAACAAAAAAAATGGTTTTCCTAAATTTACTTTAATAGCAATGCTTATTTACGAGAGATAAATTTTTAAATAAAATAGATAGCTGCGGTTGTCGACTGAAATATCGATATTAGAGAGAACCCGTTTATTATTTGAGAGAGAGAGAATAGGATAAAACCATATATATACTATCTCCTATATCGCTGACTAAGGCAGCAAAAGACTGTAAACACTAGAGTGCAGATATATATATATATATCTGTCTCTGTCGTGCCCCCGTCTACTCAAGAGACATGCGTGAACACGTGGTGAGTACGCTTTTATCTTATTGGACGGTGAATTAAAAATTAATAGCAGCTGATGACCTTGATGTTTATAAAACACCAAATAAATGTTTGACATAAACATAACCTAAAATCTAATACAATAATGGCTTCTTGTTTTATTTATAACATTTGAAATCGACAAAATTGTCATGGTTACATAAAATTTGGTTTGTTATTTGGGTTGCCTAAACAAAAGTAAAGAATATAATGTTTAATGAACAACCTACATAAAGTTGATATTTAAAGCAATATTCAACGTCAATTTCACACAAAAGTACATATATTCTAATTTATTTGATGCATCTACGATAATTTATAATTAAAGTCAACTATCTACAATAATTGCATTTCAAAGCTGCATAAAATACGCGCGAAACACTTCAAACTCTTAAAAATTTACGATTCGCGCAAGCGCCTTCGCGATATGGGGGCACGACAAAGACAAAACATATATCATTCCGTCTGCTTTTGATGGAAACGCTCGCCACTCATTGCTTAGATAGGGAGTCAGCGATATAGGAGATAGTATATATATG